GACTCCTCTCCATTCTTCCTTCTAACAGCCCTACCAGGTGGGGTTCTTAGCCCAATTTTTATTCCAGATGAGAAGAGTGAGGGTCCATGATGGAGAGAGTGAAAATGGGATATGAGCTGAGTCAGATTATGAACACTGGGAAGCAGTAGCACTTACTTGGAGCCCAGCACAAATAGCACAAACATCACCCTCCCATGTAAACCTTCTGTCCCCTACAGGACCAGTGACTCAATGCAGGCCCATCCCATGCCCCACATCCCCAAGCAAATGTGGCCTTCCTTGCTCCAGATCCCATTTCCAACAGATCTTTCTGTAATCAAGCTTGCCACACTTCCCTCCTGGGCTTCACATCATGCTCCCCTTCTGCCAGAGAGGCCACAGCAGAGATGGCCATATCCGTTCCCTCTCGTGAATGTCTGATGTCAGGCTCCTTCTTGAACACGACCTGTGCATCTACAGCTCTGCGCAGGCCACTGCCCTCACTGGCCTGTCCCTGGGGCCACAAAGGGGAACAGCCCTTCAGCAACCCAGGAGAACCATCTGACAAGTTCCACTCCTCTAGACTGCTCCCATCACTAGGACTTCAAAACTACAAAGAAATCAGTGCCAAAGGCTGCAGTGTCTACCATCATGAAGCTTGTCTGCTGAACCAAGATCTCCCACTCCTGCCATCATCCACTCGTTGGGTCCAGGTTCTCCCACTCTCACCATCTGGATTCTGGCCACAGCTGTGTCACGGCTCTGTACAATTTCACATCTAGCAGGGCCTACTCTCCTTAGACCTCCCTTTCTTCTGCCTTAGGAGCCATGACACCTAATCACTCAACAGTTCCCAGTGGCTACATTGGAACTCTGAACCCCAAACCAATTGCATCTGTTTTCATGTGTACATGTGGGGTGCTAATACAAAAACAGAATCACACACTACTTGCAAAAGTAGAGTATGAATTTTGGATAATACCTGACAGTAACAATTGAGGACTTTTCTCGGCTTTGGTGTGTAGATGTTCCCTTTTCGTCTTCAGCACAACTCCTTGTGGTGGATATTACTATCCTGTCTTCAAGAGGTCAATACACGCCTAGTGTCCCACCACTGAGGCATCAGGGGTTGTATTCACACTCAAGCTAGCAGTTGGTGCAGTGTCCAAGCTCAGGGCCTCCTCACTTCAGTGTCATTGACCCTAAGCATCTCACCGTCCAACCACCCTCACTGTTCAATAACCACTTCTTCCCTGTGCACCTGCTCACTCTGAGCAGAAGGGCATTTCTCCCAATGTCAGAGAAAATGGCAGCCCTGCAATCATTGTTCTTCCCTCCCACCACAGGAGGTACAGGCTCACCTGCAGCCACCGCCTTCCCTGCCAGCCTCCCACCTAATCCAGTGCCATATTTTCAAACATACACACAAAGAAAAACAACAGCAAACAGGCACAACTGTACGATTACAACAGTCAGGCTTTTTCCAAGGGGAGAATGAAACTATTTTATTTAAGGGAATGTTAAAACAAAGCCATATACAATCTGTAACAAATACAATACAATCGTTTGTTCCCTAGTCCTGAATAATTACAGTATATACAAATTCCGTAAGGCACTGGTTCCCCAAGGAATACAAATGAGTCTTCTCTTGAAACAGACAAACAACAAAACCCCCTATATATTGCCAACTTTTCTCCAAAAAAATATAGCATATTTTTATGTTTAAATCATAACTACTGAATTAAATCACTTCTGATGCTACTTCTTTCATTTCCACTGCTAGGGGACTGCCTTTTCTAAGGAGATACAACTACCCACGTGTTCAAGTTAAAAAAAAAAAATCGCCCTTTTTTCAGTGCCTTTCCACCCACAGACAAAGAAGAGGCAGAACAGACCAGCAACATAAAACTTCTAATGAATATGCATTACTCTCGCAACATGAAATTCAGTCATTATTAAGTACTTGCTATACTTGACTTCACATCAATTGAAATGTGCCAAAGAATTCCCTGTAAATAAAATCTCAGCATGTTTCCTAAGAAACTCTCTGCTTGAGGAATAAAAAAGAATGGTCACTGGGGACACCACGTAGGGCTTTCCAGGAAGTCAAAGGCCTGTCTCCTCATGCTCAATGCTCGTAGCACTTCACTTGTGATTAAACAACCTACACACATTCATAAATAAATATTATGTTTCATTTAGTACTTTATCATCCATAATAGTTTACTCTCTAATCCACATAATGGAGTTGTGCCAGACTCCACACTGAACATAATATTTATATATACATATATTTATATACTATATACACACATAAACTATAAACCTGAACATCTTCGCATACAAAACTTCTCTAATGACTGATAATTTAGGATTACTTTGAAAGGGAACAGTTAGAAAACAGAAACACTAGTCTTCGAAATAATCTTAAAAACTATGCAACCAACTACACTATTAATTTCCAGGATCTCGTGTGTTTGAATCAAAGACAAAACAGCAAAATAAAATTTGACTATGAGCTGCTAGAAATTTAAAAGCCATAAGGGACTACTGGAACGTGCGCTAGGTAGCCTTCAGGAAGAACTTAGTCTTACCTAAGTGGATTTTGGTAAGATAAACAACAACAAAAAAATCTTTTCATAAATAAAGTTTTTTTTTCTCATTAAAAATAACTAAGTGGGTCTTTTAAAGTATCTCAGAAATAAGTTTCCAAGTGTTCATGGTGAGTAAATCAGGCTGGGGAGTAGAAAATAAGCTACAGATTATTTCCAAAGCAACCAAATATCTAGATAATACGGAAGAATTTCGGACACTATTTTAACTTCTCCCATTCTTCCCTGGAATTCTCTCCCTAAACATCATCATGTTTCCCATGAAATATTCTGCATTGTAAGCTATCCATTTTCAAGAACTTACCAAAGAGAAAGCCTGTTTTTCTCTAAGGGGCAATTCCAATCCCAAATGCAGGAGATTCCCAAAAAACCAAAATACATCTCCGTGAGTGGCATACATGTTTACATTCTCTTGATTAAAAATAATCTGCTTAAATACATGTAGACTCTCTCCAAAGCTCAGATGATTTTCATACTTATCTTAACCATGTATTCCTTCTAAATTATCACAAACTGTATAATCTGACCCAAGAGAAAGGAATCTTGACATTGCAATTGAGGTTATCTGAATCTCAGTAAAAGCAGTGTTGTGATTACTGTTATATTTTGGAAGCAATAATTTTCTTCGCCCCTTAGGAAAATAAAAGGTAAGACTTTCTCTTCCATCTGAAGGATGAGGTTCTTAGCTACCCAGGACAGGCAGTGAAAAGCAGTGGGAAGGGAATCTGGAATACAGGATGTGTGCTTTACTTATGGCCCTCCCAGCCAGTAAGCAGAGCTCACAAACACTTGGCACCCGAGGATGTTTTCTGGATGATCCAGTCAGCAGCTGCAAGCTTCTTCACAAGTGAGGAAAAGGTTTTCTCGTTTCTCATGCAGCTGTCAAATGTTTTAAGTCTCCATCTTTCAGCCACTCGGCGATGAACATGTGTTATAAAACACTGCCCCCTGGAGTATCCTCCAGGGAATGTCTCTTTCCTATAGGCTAACAAATCCTTTACTAACCACTGAAGAATTTCTAAGAAGCAAAAGGAAACCTCCAGAAGGAAACCTAGATAAACGAAGCTGAGAGAGATGAGCACAATGGTTCACGATGGTATATTCCTGTTGCCAAGGAATACTGCCCTGTCAATGATTGTGTGTGTGTGTGTGTGTGTTGCCCCAAATCCCTATAGAATTCAATAGCAAAAGAGTTGTTCTGACAAGTGCCACAAAGAAAGAAATAATAAATAGTTATTTTAACATTACGAAAGTGAGTCAGCCGTATGGTATGAAATGATCACTTAAGATGTACACAGTCAAGCCCTATCCATTTTAGAACAAGCAATCACGGCAGTGGTGACATTCTGTGGCTTCCACTCTCCTATGCTGTCCCTTCTGGAAGTTATCTTTATCTAGTTTTAAGTTAAAATTCTATTAAATTAACCTGACAAGTGCTTCCTCATATATATATATATACATATATATATATATATATATTTTTTTTTTTTTTTTAACGCAGACCCTCACCCAACACACAAAAAACACAAGACAATAAGCAAAGAAACCACTTACACAAGATAGGGTGTCCATCCTTGTTCCCTCATGGTTTTGAGACTGCTCCCCACCCAGCATCAGTGGGGAGCCCCTTCCTCTGCCCTTGCTACCTCGCTGACTCACCCTTCTTCGCCCTACAGCAGACAACCACTAGTGTAGAGCGCTTTGTTTTTTTTTTTTTACAAAACCCATGCCATTTTGCTTACTATGGATCTTTTGATTTGAAAGATTAAAAGCATTCACAGGTCGATTCTCTGCATATTAGAAAATAAGCAAAAAAAAGAAAAGAGTTTGTGTGTCTGATGTAAAGGAAAGGATTTTACCACGAAGGCCTGACACCCTCAGAAACACACGGTGGTTCTGAAGAACATCATCAGCACTTCACGCTCTCACAGCCACACGAAACCTTCACTTGCTCTGAGTGGCCCGAAGCTGCAAAGGAACACTTTTAGCAAGTCCCACAAGCAGTTCCTGTCTGGTGGCACTTGTCTGCAGGTGCAATGCCATGGTCGGGGCAGCCCCCACTGCAGGCAGGGCCACAGTGGTCTGGCAGCTTGGACTGGCCAAGTTCTGGGTTTAGGGTGAGCTCCATTCTAAGTCCTCCAGCTTCACAGATGATCTTCCGGCTTGCAGAGTGCAACGGCTTTTGGCCAATGGGAGAACATCTATTTTAATTCACCTTTCAGCAGAATTTCCGGGAAAACAACGAACAAAACCTTTTGTGGATATTTCTAAAGTGTAACAGTATAAACCTTAAAACATCTATGTTATTTTGGCAAAAGTATCTTAAAAAAAAAAAAAGAGGTCATCCCGAAACGCAAGGCTTTCTTAGAAAGCAACAAGCATCCCATATGCAACACACGACCCTGCGGCCTCTGCCCACTGACAGGCAGTGGGCATGAAACCATGTTCTGGACACTTCTCTAGCTCTGTCCAGGGTGCTCCCTGGACAGGAGGGCTGCAGCCACTGGGAAGCAGGACCATAGTCAAGGCTTGTGCTAGGGATGCTCTCTCACATCTTCTGCTGTGCCTACAAACAGAACACTTGTCGGCTTTCCACAGACGTCCTCTCCCTCATGTCAGAGTTTAATGTCCTGTGACTCTGACATCTTGGCAAGTGTCTTCTTGACGCGCAGGGCCGTCAGCCTCGAGGCAGGATTGTGAGCCCAGCATTCTGTCATGAGCTTGCCCATCTGCCTTAGACACTGTGGAAAGGAAAAGCATTGGGAGCAAAGTTAGAGAACTGGAGTCTCCACAAGGTACGTCAGCCATGGATAGCAGCTCTTTCATTGGAACTCAGGAAGCTATAAAAGGTTTATATGTTTTAATATTTCTTAACAATTTACTGGCTTATTTTAAAGACAATTATTAACAGAGAACATGAGAGAGAGAGGAGAGAGAGAGAGAAATGTATCTTCCATTTGCTTGTTCACACCCCAAAGAGCCATCATGATCAGGCAAAAGGCAGGAGCCCAGGACTCCATCAGGTTTCCCACACAGGTGGCGTGGGCCATCTTAGGTCATCTTCCACTGTCCTCCCAGGCACATGAGCAGGGAGCTGCACTGGAAGTGGAACAGCCAGGACTCAAGCTGGGTGCTCAAACGGCAAGCCAGTATTGCAAACGGTGACTTAATCTGCCTATACCACAATGCCAGCCCTGAAATATACATTTTCTTAAATGGTACCTATAAAACCATGTAGAAATAAAACCCCAGTGAAACTCCCTTTCATGAACAATGATCTATGAATAAAACAGGCTGACTCCTGTGCTCTCTTGTGACAAGGGCACACAGGTGCTTTGCTGATTCTAAAACAGCACCTTGAAGTCAGGACTAAACAGACATAAGAACACCCTGGGAATGTATATTACATACCACATACCCAGACTGTTCAAAATGCTTGATAAGTCTACCTTTTTTATTCAATTCCATGTGATTCCAACCAATATGGTTATTCTTAAACCACAGCTGGCTTTCAACCATGTTACTTAATCACAGTAACCTGTGCACAGAGAAGCTAAACTTTTTCTTGTGTACTCCAGGGATAAACATCAATTATTGGCAATTATTGGTATTCTGGTTGAAAACACACCTTCCCTTCACTAGACATCCGTGGTGAATGGATTTGAAGTGGCATCGGTGGCCACACATACCTCCAAAATACCCTAAGGCCAGTATTTCACTACACTTTCTGCACAGCTTATTGGAAAAGCAAACATGGATCTTACAGACCATTTCAGTAATGAGTCAGAAAACCAATGGACCAGACATTGTTTTTAAATGAATTTCAGACTGAAGACATAGTTCCTAAATGGTGCTAGGTTCACTTTGTTTCTGACAAACTTGGTACATGTCTAGGGTAAACAGTACATTTTGTTCCTGGGAGTACTTCAAACTCACCTTGAAATTTCCTGCAGCATCAGTATCCCATGTGGGTACCTAGGTTGCAACCCCGCTGTTTCACTTCCCACCTAGCTGCCTGCTAAGGTTTTGGGAAAGCAGTGGAGGATGTTCCAAGTGCTTGGTTACCCACAATGCTTTGGCCTCCTGGCTTTGGCCTGCCCAACCCCAGTCCTAACTGTTGGAAACCCTTCGGAAGTCAACCATGGGATGGAAAGTCCTTCTCTCTCTACTTCTCCCTCCTTCTCTCCTTCTCTCTCCCTCTCCCTTTTCCTCTCTGTAACTCCATCTTTCAAATAAATAAATTAATTAAAAAAAAAAGTTCCAGTTACCAGAGAACTTCAGGAATGGGATGAGTCTGAAGGTGCAGTGGGCAGAAGGAGAGGAACGGAGTAGGAGATGCAGCAGGAAAAGGAAATCCAGCCAGACTCTTCTTCTTTCCAAGCATCTCCTTTATAGATCTTTACTGTTCTTGCCACCAAAGCCTGACAGCAAATCTAAGCATGGGTACGCCTCAGACGCCCACTTCTTGCCCTCATTCCATGCAAGTCAGTGGTCTGGCAGCAAAATCATGATGCTTTTAAAAATGCACACGACTCTAATGCTCAGAAAAGGCAAGGAGTGGACACTGGCCAACTCAAAACCTCCTGCAGGCAGTATACTGAACCTGGAGAAACATACACATTACTGAGCTCCATACATCCTATTGTACCAACACCACTGCCATCAAAACAGGAGTTCCCATGCTGGCTATCTGGGATGAGGGGGGAAAAAGAGGTCTGTCTCCAAGTTCATCCTGGTGGCAATGTGACCGCAAGCCTTACCTCATCACTACTCCACCGGTTGGGGAAGGAGGGGCGTAACTTCTTGATGCACACAATCTCTCTCATGTCCTCGTAAGAGGGGTCACTGGGCACTAGGTCGTGATAGGGAAGCTGGTATTCTTCAACTATACCTGAAAATGCATGGTTACAACTCATTATTTTCTGTGAAGTGGAAACAAAAGCCTAATACATAAACTGTCTCAAAATAAATGCTATCAATATAAATGACAGATTCAGGCTGAAACACAGCAAAATAAATCCCCCAATACTACACTCAAATATTCCTAATTAGAATTCCTAATTCTAAATTAGAAAATAAAATGAATAGAAAGCTTCCAATCTCGTCTTTAATATCCAAAAGATAAGAAAAAGGAGCATCTCATATGTATTTTCAATTTCATAAAAACACTGCTTTTTTTTAAAAAAAAATCTGTATTCAGCCTCAATGTAAATTTGGATGGTATCTCCTGAACTCACTTTGTATAATATGTGACAGCTTTTCTTATATAGTATGACATTACGAAGATCACAATAAATTTCAAACTGCATCCCATTAGAACAAAATATCAGAGTTCCCTTTTTTTCTGTTTAATCAGAAGGATGTGAGTTTGCACATTAAACTTTGGAACAGTGCACGCATGCATGCACACACACACACACACACACACACACACACACACACAATCAATGATGATTTCCCAGTACAAGGATTGCCTTATTTTTATTTTCTCCTTTAAAAACAAGGAAATCAAAGCATAAGCAATTAGTTTAGATTTTAATTACCTCAAGTGTTCCTACATAATTATGATGGAAGATGTATCCAAAATCTGGACAGGGCAATGTTACTGCCTTAGCTATCCTATTGGACAAAATACTCCAGAGGAAACCTAGTACATATCCAGCCACTCATGAAGATCTCCAAAATCTTGAGGAGACCAGAGGGCACTGCTTCATGGAAGGTATTTTCACAGAAGTGTGAATAGTTGCCTGCTAACTTTCTCCCTCACTTAACACACAAACCTATACACACATTACTGTTTCACTAACCAAAACAGAAAGTATTATTATCATATTGAGTATTCTGAACACTACTTATTGACTAGCAACTGTAATTCTCTTTACATTCATTAAAACCTCACGACCAAGGAACATAAGTCTATTCCTCCACGTCATGGTTACAAGGAAGATGCTGGAACAAAGTGTGTCACAAACAAAGAAACAGCAGGTACAAGAACAGCATTCTGCCCTGGGCATGTGCCTGCTTCATGGTCAGGATCTCAGGCAAGTTCATGTGTCTCAAAGAAAGGATCAAACTGGCAACTGTGCAGTGGTGCAGTGTTTTACAGAATTGTCTTGGTATCTGATAACAGAGGAGCTGACAACTCAGCTCTCTACTATCTGCCAGGGGAGAGAGTATGCAACAGCAGGCGAAACACTGCAAACAGCAGTATGTCTAAATATTTTCAGATGCCTTCATTGCTAGGATTACTCTTACTAGAGAAACCTTAAGTTTACAGCAACCCAATCATAAAACAATAACGATATCCCGATAGTTTCCCTTTCCTTTTCATAAACTGTCTTCATAGTAGTGATGGAGGACCTTCCATAAAAAGTAACCAGAATGACTGTCCACCCACAGTTGTCTCTACCGTTACCCATACAGGGGAAGCCACAAAGGGGTGATGGAATTGGAATGGTGCCCAGTGGGTAGGTGAGGAGTTCCTGAAGGTGGGAAAGGGGGCTGACTTGGTGCAGTAGCCTCTGGAGCAAGAGAAGGGAGACAAGACACAGAGGAGATGAGCAGAATCTGTACAAGGGCAAGGGACGAGCACAGTGAAATAAAAAGAGAATCATCAGTCACTGAAGTTGGAGGGAAGGAGCCAGTTAAAGACTATTCCAATATGCTAAATATAATTTCTGGGGAAGATTGAACTGTACCAACAAAAACATACAGAAGAATAAAAGAAAACATGATCCTGTATATGATGCAATACTTTGAATTTTGCTGAGACACAGCTTTTCAGATATCTGTGTTTCTTACCTCCTGATACACATCGCCTAGCAATCTCCCAAAGGATGAGTCCAAAACTGTACATGTCGGCCATAATGTAAGACTGGAAGTGATTTCTATTCAAGCTTTCATCCAGCACTTCCGGGGGCATATAGCGCTTGGTGCCAACTCGTGTGTTGGGTGGTATGTCAACTTCATTTGTATCACTAGGAAAAAACCAAAGCAGGGCATTTATCAGCACTAAACAGGACCAGCAAATGACACTTCAAGATGATTCTCAAACAAAGGACTTCAGGAAAGATGGGAAAGGAAAACATTCTGGGGAATGAAAACATCTTCCAAACTATGTCTTGGTAAGAAGTTACATCACATATTCACAGGTAAAAACCCAAGGGAGAATGTGATTTGTAACATAAGAACGTATGTTCTGTATGTATCACCACTAGATTCAATTTAAATCCTTGTTCAGTAGCTATTTAATATTTAGAAAATACTTCCTTTCCTTTCACATGTTAATTTCTTGCTCTTAAAATAGCATGCACACCAACCAAGAGGGTTTGTTAGCAATAGTACTTTTAAAACTAAGTGTTGCAAGAATTTTTTGGGTCTATAAACATGTAAGAGAAAGCTGGGAGAAGAGCAATGAGGCAAAAGTTTGCAAGCGAAATATAAAAACTCTTCTAACACTACTGTTTCACGGCCCAACACATTATAGATTATGACATATAAAAAAGTTATCCAAGATAACTTTTCAACACGGCTGCTTTATCAGTTTTTTCCATCAGCTGGGGGAGAAGGAATGAGGGAGGTGGAGAATCACCACCTCCAAGCAGTGGGAAAGACCACAGTTCTCAGCCCATGTTTAGAAGCTGTACAACTACCAGGTTCATGATCTACTGGAACCCATGAATCCCTGGTGGGCCAGGATGAGGTACAGACAAGATACAGAATAAGTGCTACACAGCATCAGAAATCAGTGGGTATAAAAAGAAGAGTGACATAACCAATGAAGAAACTAGATAACCGAGCAGACTCAGAATCCACAAGAGGAAGACAGGCATGGCCATGGGTAAGGATTCCTGCATGTCAGGCAAAGGTGGTTTAAAGGGACTGAATTACATTCCAGTCCAGGTACATGGGAAACCAAAAGTTGTCTTAAGATGGGTCCCATGGGACGCACTCTGACCATGGCTGATCAATGTTTGGGGCAACTCCATCCTCTCCTTAGTCTTAGTTTCATAATGCTATTTGAATTTGGCAAGTCAGAAGATGGTAACAAAATGTAATACGTAGAAAAGTTCTGAAAGAATGAAAGATGACTGCTACCTAGTGGGAGAATTAAGATTTGTAATGACGGGTCTACATGGGATAGTTCTTCAAAAAGCACAAGGTAAAATCAAATTGCAAAAGTTTATCTTCACACAAATTTGAAAACACATGGACAGGCTCTCAAAATACACTTTGTTAAGAACTTTTGGAGAACTCTTCATGTATTGGTCATCTGTGAACTCTCCATCTGATGCAGCAAAAGCACAATCAAGGATTCTGAACATGCAGCAAACATGCACTATCTGTGGCTTGCACGGGCCAGACTTGCTCGGGGAGGCCAGCCTTCCTCTCCTCACAACCCCAAGAATTTCCCCTTAGAAGTATTTTGAATAAATACACTCCCTACTGGTATCTGGGTCAATACCATCTTCCAACTCGAGACACACACACACACAAATACCTTTGAGACCAAAGATTATGTCCCAATCAGTTGGCATATTTCCTGAAGTGGACAGTCCATCTCCAATTTCAGTGTAGAACTGACAGAGTGTACAAATCCAACGCTGGACATGGAAGCGGGGCAAAGGGCCACTTAGAGTGAGCTTGGCCATGCACAGTTCAAGGAAACATCTAAAATTTGTTATGCATAGGCCATAACACAAGAGATCGCTAATACCCAGACCTGGCAGAAGTGGTGTACAGAGAATTTTGTTGAGCAGTGTACAGTCTAGTTCAAAGCAACTAAGAAGCAGTATCAGATACAGTTTTGACCCCTTCTTCTCTTGCACGTTTCAATATTGAAAGTTACTAAACATTTCTTCCTTATGCTTTCTGCAACACCATTCTACCTGTTCCTAAATAATGCAGCAGGGAGAAACTAGGCTTATCTTAACCTAGGAGAGTAGAAGCAGAAATTACAGTGGGTTTTTTTTTAAAAAAAGATTTATTTTTAATTTTATCAGAAATGTAGATTTACAGAGACAGAAAGATCTTCCATCCATTGGTTCATTCCCCAAATGGCTGCAATACCTGGGGCTGAGCCAATCCAAAGCCAGAAGTCAGGAGCCTGGAGCTTTGTCTGGGTCTCCAACATGGGTGCAGGTCCCAAGGACAGTAGACATGGGACATCCTCTGCTACCCTGCCAGGTCATAAGCAGGGAGCTGGATCAGAAGAGGAGCAGCTTGGACACAAACTAGTGCCCATATTGGATGTCAGTGATGGAAGGCAGAGGATTAGCCAAATGAGCCAATATGCCAGCCTAAGAAATTACAATGGCTTTTAACAGTCACCAGGAACAAAGACCAAGAGCAAGCAGTACAGTGACAGCACTGTATGAACATAGTATGGCAGAAGGGAAAGGCTGCCAAGGAGAAAACACCAAGCAGGGTGGCAGCAGCTCACTCTAGTTTCCTTTCCCTGGGGGCAAAGAGGAATGAGAAACAAGGTTGGCAAGAAAATATGAGTATTGCATTGAGGATGTAGTCAGAGGAAGTAATTCCCAACCTACAAACAATCCTGTGCCCATCTGTAGTCAAATCATGCAATCATAAATAGGAATACAGATAGAAGAGCTTCTTGGTGGTTAGCATAGGTGAGCAAACAAGAGGCAGTGACAGGTGGGCAAGGGTGACTTAATGTATACTAAGTGATACAGGAATAAGAAGTAGCAGGACAGGTTAAGTATAGATAATGAAAATGTATTTTTTTATAGAAAACTACGTTTTAAGAAAGGGCTTTAAATGTTTTTTTTTTTTACTAGACAGAAATCAGAAATGTTTGAAGAGGCCTGTTTGGAGGAATACTCTGATTTGATGTCACACAATGTACACATGTACACATCATCACTGTATTAATATGTGGATTTTATGTGTCAGGTAAAATTTCTAGAAAACTTACAATAAATGTTTGAATGTTGTGTTCACTGCAGGGGAAATACACAGCTGTTGTCCTTGTTAACGTGAGTGCCAATGAGATACAGACATAAGGAAACCAGCAAAGAAATGAAAATCAAATTTGATGAGGAAAAAAAAAACAAGCTAAGGGATGGATGGTAAACTCACTGTGAGAAAGCTTTCTTTGTTATAATCATACTGGTCATAGTTATTTGTCCTTATAAAACTTTAGGGATAGCAGGGCTGGCAGAGAAGAAAATAATGAAAATGATTGATTGTACTTTTCTAGAGGAGAGGCGAACCCACAGGGGTGAGTGGTGACTTGTTTGGGGAGAATGAGTACAGTTCTTCTGGCCTAGGCCGTGACAGCATGGCAAGCCCCTGTGGTGAAAAGCAAACGAGGAGAAAGGTTCCATTGGCATTCATTGAGAACTATAATGCCCACAGCATGCTGCACCACACCCTCCAGGGGAAGTATCCTAGATCATGAGCTGCTGGTGGTTTGAGATGAGCAGGATCAGAACATTTTGCAGAAAAGGCGTTATTTATGAGCCAGGGCTGGCATGGGCCAGGAGTTAAGTTTTCACATACCTGGGGTCCCCACCGGGTTGCCCAGGAAGATGGACAGAGCGGTCTAATCTCGTTCCATCTTTAAAGGCAAGGCTGCCCTCACTTAAGAATGTGCAGCAAGGCATGGCAATCAACTTCCCATTGCTCACTGAAGTCATTGGGAATAAGGGGTGACAGAGAAAATGCCCAGTGCATTGGAAAAAGAGCTCCATTGTGAAGATCAGAGGGCTCCCTTGGGAAAACTCTAAGGGTTCCTCCCTCCAAGGAAGGCCACAGAAGAAGTGAGAAGTCTCCAGGCCTTAGCTTGGGATAAAAGAGGGGAGTGAAGGGACGGAAAGTTGGAAGAGGGAAGAAGGGGGACATAGGCAGAGAGAGAGAGAGAGAGAGAGAGAGAGAGAGAGAGAGAGAGAGAAGGAAACAAGGAGTGAAAGAAGTACAGGAAACAAAATCAGATATATAACTAAAATTTTGGCCTCCTGCCACAACAGGGAGGCACAGAGTACCAAGGGGGAGTGATGGCAGCAAAGCAGCTTGCCAGCTGGCTACTCTCTCACCAACACCGCTGAGACTCCGACACACAGAGGTGATGAAAAGCAGAATGCTGGCGGGTTGTACCATCAACATGTGGTCCCTTCCTCACTGTCCATTCCCAGTCAGTTGCACTGTCTCCAGCACACTCCTGGCACAGTACCGGTGCCTGGTGTGTGTGTGTGTGTGTGTGTGTGTGTGTGTGTGTGTGTGTGTGTGTGTGTGAAAGAGCAAGAGAGAGAGAGAGAGATGAAGTCAGCAGCTGCCTGAAGGTAACAGAGAGGCTGAAAGCAGAGCCTCCCACCAGGAGCCTAAGCAGGCTACAGAATGAAACATGAGCCTCTCCCAGGGCCTCACAAGCAGCACATGCCTCAGACACTTGCCATCAAGCATGCAATGAAGGTGGGCATAAGACTTTTACTTCTGTGCCAGGGAATATAGAAGGGGTTTGTTTGGGGATATATATATGTAAAATAACCATAGGGTCACAATTCACCTCATTTTCTATGAAATGCTTTTCATATGAACAGAACTTCCTCACTACAAATCCACAGCAGCAATTCTGGCAAAATGTATGCTGTTAAGAAGGACCCCCCTGCCAGATCAGCCCAGGGCACACTCCCTATGCTACCATAAATTGCAGGAAGACCAGGAAAGGCAGAGCAGAGCACGTGGTGGCAAGGGCAGGCAAACCCAGGAGCAGAGCCCTCAGTTCCACCCTGGTACAGCTACGGGTGGTCCACAGAAATCTAAAACTGTAGATGCCTAAAACTGAAGTGAGAGAGACAGAGGCAGAATGGAAATAAGAAAGGCAATAGGAACAGGAGGTACAGCCATTATACACCTTTAGTAATGTACTATTTAAAAAAATAGTAAAGGACGTTTAAAACACCTTAAAGAACATGTTAAAGGCAGAGTAAGACTCAGCAGGGTACCACTGGTTTGTTGTGGCTCTTAACTGATGCAGTCAGTTACACCCTGAGTACACTGGAGATCACTAAATTGCCTCTTAGACTAAAGATACCACCCTACCCCACTCCACCCCAGAATGAGATTCTCCAGAATGCAAAGAAGGGGCAGTGCACTACAGCTGTAGAAGTGGCTTATCACACTGAACCTGTCCCAGTCAGGCGTTCACCTGGTGAATTGTTTTTGGTTATACTTTTTGTCAGGCTTCACTGCTGCTAGAATTAAACCAAGAAAACAAAACAAAACAACAACAACAAAAATCTCCGTGGGATTCTTTATCAGCACAATCAGAAAGCTGGAAGTTCTTGAACAAAAGGTAGACATGGTGTATGGTGGCAGAGCGTGTGATGAGGTGTGCTGACTCTGTTACTAACAGTAAGCATGGCTTACTGACTTTGATGAGTCACTGAGTCATATCATTAAAAAAATACAGTAAATACATAAAGCAAAAGTTACATCCCAAATAATAACATCGGAAAGGGGCTGGCTACCCTACCTCTTCTGCACTCAAACAGTGTGACAACCCTCAACTGAAAGAAGTGTGTGACAGGCTAGCTCTCACTGTGGGTCTTCTTTTTAAAATGTAATAGCAGAAGCTCCCTAAGCCAGGATTTATTTCCCCTCCTAAGAAAACATTTTATTCTGACACTGAAGTATTAGAGAGGTTGCCTGACTCTCAAGAGTGAAAAGTGAAAAGCTGAGGGAGTTCCTCCGAGGCATTTCATATGTCATGGTTTCCTCCTCCTCCCGAGAGAGATTCAAGGTAATGCTGAAGCCTGCCAGGGCTCACCTGGATCCAATCTCTCTTAAACAGGAAATGCATCAGCACTTACATCATTTCCAAGGGAGTGCAGGATAAAAAAAAATACATGAGCAGGAAATCTCTAAGGCACCAGTTGTTCTCTCCGTGGTTCTCAACTTCCCTGGGAACCTCCCAGAGCTGATTTAGATGCCTACACTTACAGCTGTGTAGAGAGCAGGGTAAAGATTAAGGTTGCACAGGAAGCTCACACACACAAAGTCAGAGAATTCAGCACTGGGTCGCTTATGACTCCGACTGTAATAAAACACTGTGATTTTCTGTTTGCACGTGTGCACAGTGTGTGCGAGCACATGCTGACACATACAGCAAGATAGGAAACAAGCAGAAGAGACTGGAACCCAATGGTGCTTGTAAAGCAACATTTACACATTATGCTACGGAAAGAGCAAATTTTCACATACAGGAAGTAACCAAAAGGACCCCCTGAAATGCTGAATGTAGCCTCCAGATAAGGAACAAGAAATTGGAATGCAGCAAGATAACTGGCCACGGAGCTTATGTCAGTCACATCAGCCTGTGCGGTCTGCATCCTCCTCTCCTCCCTCTTGATGAACAAGCAAACACATGCCAAGCCTCTCCAGCTGCTCTCCTCACTCCCTAGAATCAGAGTTTGCATTAAATTCGAGGGGCCATTCACTTCACTTCCCTTGCATGAAGCAGAAATAAGTCCCAGAAATGTAACAGAGTCTCAAATTCCTTGCTTAAAGTCCATAAAAGAGATGGATTCTCACTTTCACTTTTTTTTTTTTACTATCGCTTACTTTCATCCATTCAAAACAATGTTAAAATACCTACAACGGATAATTTACTATGTCCTACCATATGGGAAGCACACCGATGAACTGGCATGGATGCGGCTTTTAAAATGCCCAGTAACTAGCAGGACAGACAAGGCAGGTACCAAACTAATGCCAGGAGATGAGGGCTAGTAAATAACTGCAGTGTGATGTTGTTCTTCATAGCTCAGGGATAAGTAAGGTTCCCGGGCAACTCCTGAGACTAGATGAAGCTATCAAAGAAACAGGGATTTTTCCAAGCTAAAGATGGCCAAAAAATCAAGAGCAAAGAAGTAGCAAACATCAGCTCTATGTGGAGAAAACAGGTGGGTTTCAGAAAGGAGAACACGGATTGGGGAGTTTGTGCAATATAAAACTGGAGAGGCAGATTCAGTCCAGAACTCTACATCTGAAACCAGGCAAACAGGCTGTTTGGCTTTGTCCCATTGTCCACAGGTAACTGCTCATTTATCTTAACCTGAGGGAGGAAGGAAAGGTGCCCACCTTCCAAAATGGATCAGCTTCAGTGGGAAGAACAAGAGAGCAGTAAAGAAAAAACAAAACAAAAAACCGAAAACGATTCAAAAGGTAAAAAGAGAGCAGAATCGGTGGAGACCGATGGGGACGTTGTGCACACAGGCACACGAGGCAAATAAGAGGAGGTAAGGTTGGGCCTGAGGACAGCCACAGGCTGACGGGACAAGGGCGAGCAGAGAGGACCGACGGCATCTCTCGGTGCTGCAGGAAAGCAAGGAGCAGAACACAAACTACAAGGTACAAACTGCTGGGCTGTATTACTGGTTGTCTCTTTGGAATGACTTGCAAAATTTTAACAAGAGGGTGGGAGATAGGTAAGAGAAGCTGGGAAGCTAAGAAGCATCATGGAGTAAGCTATTTTCTTTTGGTATCAGAGACTTGAAAAGAGCTGCAGATCACTTAACAATATGAACAGAAAGTTTGTAGTTCCAACTTACACCTATGGAGCAAATCATTTCCCTTGGCTCTGTTTTGAAAGACCAAGAGCTTAACTTTGCCACCCACTAACAGGTGAAGACAGTCACAAATTTGGGGCACAATTTTAAATCACATTTCAGCCTTCACTTTCAGGTAAAATAACAATCCATTAGTCCCGTGACTCTGGAAGTTTCACTTTCCAAACTTAATCTCATGGCTTTTCCTCTATCCCTTCATTGCCATTTCTAGTGTATCTGGAAAAAAAAAAATCTAGCAGGCAGTCCAAAAATTTGTTCAACATTAGGCTTGAACTGGGCTTTTTGACAGGTGTTTTCATGATGATCCTACCACAACAGTGGTCTGCAAAACTCATTTAGTTTGTCTGGTTGTTAAATCACCTTCAAACTGAAAGCAGTTACTCTACATTAAATCAGGGTGGGCGAAACACTCCAACCACTGCATTTGCCCCATGCCCAAAGTGTAGAAGCCTGTGGTAAGAGCCTAACTCCAAAGACAGGAAACCCACTGTTTTGGATCATGTTCTCAGGTGTGTGTTCAGGAATTACTTGCCGCATTTAATCTTAAAACTCAGTAGTGCTGAATACTGAGTCCATTTTTTGAACAGTGCCCAATGTTTTTTCATAATGCACGTATGTAAGTTCTCTTCACTGTACACCATATGAAACTATTATTTTTATCATCATACAAGTTTTAGAGTTTTTTCTTCTGGCATCCCTAATGTCCGAAGAGTTCTGACTGTGTATTCCCAGGCATCAGAACTCTTGAATTTTCCATTAAGCTCATGACAACTGCAAACCCAAGATGAAGAATCTCTTAGGTGGCAGACAAGCACATAAAGAACAGGGCTGCCCCAAATACACCATGCTACAAATTAAAAGTTCCATGACTGCTTTCCAAATAAAAGAAAGTTAAAGGTAATAAAACTCTTCTTTGACTCAATATGCTGCAAATTCTTCATTTACCAAACACTTTAGGAGCACCAAGATAGAAAATGTATATGTATAAACAAATGAAAGCAAAGAATCCTAACAAGGATAGTTGTTCATTTTGATACCAACCTAATAAATTTGACAGCCAGGCCCAAGTCGGCTATACAGCAAGTTCCATTTTTCTTCACCAGGATGTTCTTACTTTTCAGATCCCGGTGGGAAATTGCTGGCTTGCCTTGTGTACTGAAGATCTCCGTGTGTAAGTGGCACAAGCCGCTGACAGAAGAGTAGGCTAGCTTCAGCATCGACTTCGTGTCCAGGGTGGTGGACTTCAAATAATCATAAAGGGAACCATTTTCATGGTAGTCCGTGATTAGGTACAACTGGGTCCAGGACCCTGTGCCTTTGATATCTGCAGCAATAAACCCTAAAAGGGGGGCAGGGGAGGGAGGAAGACAAACAAGTTTGGAGAGGAAGCATTTTCACTATTTTTTTAAAAATTAATGCATTTATTTGAAAGGGAGATTTATAGAGATAGAAGGATGGAAAGCGAGGTCTTCTGTCCACGGGTCATGCCCAGCCAGGGCTAGGTCAGCCTGAAGCCAACAGTTTCATGTGGGTTTCCCACATAGCTGCAGAGGCCTAGGCACTCTGTGCTGTCCTCCACTGCTTTCCCAGAAGTATTAGCAGGTAGCTGAACTGGAAGTGGAGCCTCTGGAACTTGTGCTAGCACTCATCCAGGATACTGGGGTCATGAGTGGTAGTTTAACTACTGCTCCATAAGCTAGCTCCAGATAGTGTTTGCTGAACATCAACAAGGAGTCATATTCTCAAATACGATCCTTTTCCCATTGGTGCCTTCTGTTTGCCATTTCAGTCCACTTTCTAATTATGCCAATGACTACTGAATTATTAACTCTAGACAGAGCAAGCAAAATTGGAGTGGTAAAGAAATATTAAGATGTCATATGTGAAAACATATTTTTAAACCAATTTATTTATTTGCAGGCAGGAGAGAAAGAAAGAGCTGCCATCTGCTTGTTCTAACGCCCATAATGGCTGGAGATGGGTTATGCTAAAGCCAAGAATGAGGAATGCAATCCAGGTCAACCACAAAGGCAGCCAAAACCTGATCTTCTGAGCCATCACTGCTGTCTGCCAAGGTCTATGTCAGCAGGAGGGTGGGGTCAAGAGCTGAGGTGGGATTGAACCCAGTCATTCTGCTACAGGATGCAGGCTTCCTAACTTCTAACCTAAGTGTCTCCCACTCCCTCAGGATGCCTTACTGTTTGGTAGATGTTTCAATTTTTTTACATTGGGCCCGCTGGATATAATACACTGTTTACCAAAGAAGGATATTAAGGCATACACCTTGATTTAGACTGATTATGTCTAGCCTGAGAAAACTATAAAAAAGCACCAATGCTTAGCATACATTTTTGGGATAAATAAAACTGTAGATAACATTTATTATACATTTTTTACATTTAAGCCAAGATATACTCATTCAGTCTCTAGAAAATCCTATAAAATTCTGGTATGACATTTGCATTTGCTGTTCCCAAAGGGAAAAAGAGCAGGGAAAACTTTGCTTGCAGTTCCCCACTGACTGCCAGCCTTGCCCTTGTCACTCCTGGGAGGTTCCTGCTCCAGGCTTAGGAGGCTGGTGGGCTTATGCCAAGTAGAAAACGTGAGTATATTTCATAACAGCTCTAAGTAGATAGGTGCCTAGGTGGTGGCTGGCAGAAAAGCAGGGGAAGCTAGGAAGCCCTGGCCACTGCTCCCCACACCTGTACTCACCCAAAATGTTCTCGTGCCTCATCAACACTGTCTGGTAGATCTCGGTCTCTCTGAACCAGCTGGCCTCCTCTGTGGTGAAGAAGACTTTGACGGCCACCTTCTCGCCGCGCCACTTGCCCATCCAGACTTCCCCGTAGCGCCCTTTGCCGATCTGCTTCACCATCTGAATCTGCTTAGCTATTGTCCTTTGCACCTGTGAAATCCCAAAACACACTTTTTTTTTATTCACAGTACCACAGATTTGTTTTTCCTCCAGGCAAGAAACAATGCCGATGTAAGATGCCTAGCCAGTATTTTTTATAGACAAATTCATTGTATTCATTTATTAATTCATGTAATATCAAATCCATTCAAGGCAGACTATAAATGTTTCAAATAATGCTGCTAAACTGGTAACTATTTCATGCTGTTATGATTTTCACTGAGAAAAAAATCAGAATGGCTTCAGTATAATACAAAGAAGACATGATTTCAATTCCTCCTATTAGAGTGGGATATTTCATACTCTTAAAGGACTCTTGCTAACACATTCCTAATCATGGATAAAAGATAGGAAAACAAAATTGTAATGACTATATACAAGCAATACAGGAAATCTTGGGTTTGGGAGCAGGAAGAGGAAGAGCAAGCTCAGAAGGGAAAGGAGTTGAAACCCCATCCAGGAACAAAAGGCAGATACAAAAGCTAGGTGACCATCGGGGCAATGCGGGACAGCAGTACCAGCTTCCAGAGGCTGGATCCTGACCCTGTAAAACTACAGCACCTAAGCCCAGGCATTAGGCAGGGACTGCCCAACGGTGCAACACATGTCCTATAGCTGGGCAGCACACCACAGCTCCCAGCAAAGACAAATGCCAAGCCTCTCATGAGGGAAGCACTGCGACAGGATTTCTCAATCCACAACAATGAATGAATAAGAAATTCCTGCCACCGTACCACCTGATGATGGATAAAACACAAGAAATAATCTCTTGAAATGCAGAGTTGGGCTCACAGGGAAACAAAGGAAACGTCCCAGGAGTCAGGAAGGGTGAGGAGGAAAGAAAGTAAGCAGAGGGAAAAAAGAAAGAGTATGAGGGAAGAACAGAACAGGGTCCTTAAAAGGAACAACCACAATCAATAAGTGTCAACAAAACACAGCCCACTGCACTCAAGCATTCAGAAAGCACCGTGGAATTTCCAGCTGTACAATACTAAGTGACTGGACTTGAAATCTATAAAGTAGTACATGGAATGAAAACTAAGCATGCAGGAGCAAAGTATTGAATATGATACTTCTGAGGTGGAATAGCTGATTGTCACAATCAAAAACACAAAAAAGAACGAGAGAACAGAAGAGATCCAAAAATCAAAGAAAGCTAACTTGCAGAGAAAGTATTTAACATGCTGGAGAGAATTCTGAGGACCTCTAAAGTGTAGCAGAGATAAGAGTAAGAAAATATGAAAAGTGGCACTCATGTTAAACATCTCCATAGATACAGTCATTGGCCATCTTTACCCAAACTGTTTGGAAACCTGTGATGTCAATGTTCCCAGAAGTGGAGCAGAAGTTCTAGACATCTGTGATAACTTTATATAACTTACAGGGCATGCATAAGGAACCAAAACACTGGGATACAATCATTGTCAAGATGGCTTTACAACAAGGAAATATGTCAAGCCTTTTCTGTTTTAACTTTAATTCTTGCAGAGATGATCTGAACAATCATTTCACAGTCATGCAGTAGACATGCCTTTCCCATCTCCAAGCCACACAACAGGATTAGGACAAGAACACTGAGGTGCGGGTGGGGGATGTTATCTAGAAATCACAGTTTGGTTCTTTCAACTAGACCTGCATTTATTTTATTTTCCAGAATGGTTGATTTTATCAAACCAAAAATTTTGAAAAAAAAATTCACTGCTAGAATTACTAAGGGCACAAATACCAGACTGAAAACAGATGGAGGAAAGAGAATTTCCTAAGGATTTTTATTCCCTAGAAAGTTGTTAAAAAATGAATCACTGATATGGCAAAAAATCACAACATCAACAGGAATAAGCAGGCAAGCTCATCTGAGGAGAGGCTCCTGCCGTGGGAGCCCAACGCGCCGAGGGCCTCTGGGGGTGTTCCCTTTCCAAGCCAGAGGACACCGCACAGGCTCTAAGCAGCTTAGAAGCCCAGGACGCAAGCAGAGAAACTGCAGAGACTTCCCACACCCTGTTCAAGAACTAGACTTAATTTACAGATGTTCCAAAGCATGACTCCTGTGTCTGTAAAATCTTTTGTTCAAATGAATAGTTTTGCACCTGCTTCTGTTCTAATGATAATATTGTTTTCTTATGACTGAAGGCAAGTCTTGACAGAACTGGCAATGCTCAACAGATTAGGAATGACAACTTCCCTCAAAGATGAAGTGTTACTAAATTAAATCCAGAAACTCAAAATACATTAGCTTCCTTTTTTTTCTTTTTTTAAATATCTGAAGAATGAAAAATAGAATTCAAAAAATTTTAAATCTGATTGTTTGATTCTGCAAATGTTTCTATTCTTTCTTAGCCTAAACTTTCATCCTATATTAGGTTATTAGATATTAATTTTAAAAATGCAGTTATTTAAATAAAATTTCTGGAAGATAGAGCCATTATAACAGTGATCCCCAAAGAGAAGCAAATATGTAAATATTTAGCGGCCAGTGGGATAGCACAACTGGCTGATCCTCCATGTGCAAGTGTTGGCATCCCATATGGGTGCTTGTTCATGTCCTGACTGTTCCACCTCCCATTCAGCTCACTGAATATGGCCAGGAAAAGCAGCAGAGGATGGCTCAAAGCCTGTACTCATGTGAAAGACCCAGAAGCTCCTGGTTCCTGGCTTTGGATTGGCTTAACTCTGGCCATTTGGGGAGTGAATCAGCAGATGGAAGATCTTTCCCTGTCTCTCCTTCTCTTTGCCAATGTGACTTTCAATAAAAATAAATAAATCTATAAGTATTTAAGAGGAGTTATCACTATTCCATGTTGTCATCTAGTGATTAGATATAATCTCTAATATTTAAATCCATGTACATATGACAGTGCTTCAAAAAGTTCATGAAATAATGGGTTTAAAAGGTAAGTTTTCCCTAATACACTAGTATAACCTAATATGCTAGTACAACCATTAGGGACGATATTATGGAGATTTCTCACATATCTGGATATAAATCTACCAGATGAGAGAAATGCAGTTCTGGGAATTTAATCAAATGAAATGAAATCAGTACATGAAAAACATTATCTCCCCCTGTTTATAGCAGCTTACTCAGCCATATAAAAGAATAAAACCCTTTATTTTGCAACAAAATGCATATAACTAGAGAGCACTACTCTTAGTGAAATAAGCCAGTTCCCCCAAAAAGGTGAATACCATGCTTTTCCTGATTTGTGGTGATGAAGTACAGGATATACACAGGCAATATATATAGCAAACTAACTTGATTGTAATCTACAGCCCCTGTTCTATGAGGAGCAGGTGCTTTTCTACTTTACTTACTGACTTCTTTAGTGGTAGGTTAGGCTTGTTATTATTAATTACATTTAAAGTTCATGATTGCAAATTTCAAAAAAAGAAAACAAGAGAAGAAAGGATGGAAGGGGAGGAGATAGAGAGGGCAGAGTTGGAAGTATCATTACGTTCTTAAAATTGTACATACAGGCCTGGGGCAATGGCTCAGTGCCTAAAATCCTGGCCTTGCAAGTGTCGGGATTGTATATGGGTACTGGATCGTGTCCCGGTTGCTCCACTTTCCATCCAGCTCCTGCTTTTGGCCTGGGAAAGCAGTGAAGGAAGACCCAAAGCCCTGGAACCCAGCACCTATGTGGGAGACCTGTGCTTGCTGGTGCATACAAGTATCTGTCCTGGGAATACCTCAGACGAAGTTTCTTTGGAGATCTACCCAATTGAAATGCCAGACTCAGAACCCTAACCATGAAGGGACAGAAGATGGAACAAGTTAATCAACCACCTCAGCTATAGGTTGGCAACAAAATACCGGGCAAATAGAGACGCTATGATGGACAATGTCAATTAATGGATTTTTCAACAACCTCATCGTGTTTGGAGAGGCAAGATTGGCAGCAATTTCAAAACTGGTGACCTATTGAAACCACTTCAATGAGTATCTTGGAGCATGCCCCACATGTGGGACTTGGGGTGGGTGGGAAATCAGGTGGGGCTTCTCCCTCAATATCCCCTTCTACCTCAGATATATGAAGGAAACAATATGGAAATAATAGTCTTACCCACTTTCCTGTAGCCCTTGACCCTTTATGCACAAATTAACCATGTAAAGATTGTTAAAATAAAAAATATTAAATAAAAAAAAGAAAAAAAAAGAATTATATTTGCTACATTTTAAATTCTGAAAACAAATAAATCAAGCACTTTGGTCCTAGAACTTATCCAATGACCTTTCAACTTCAGGAAATTATGTTGATCATACTGATAGAAATAACAATGACAGATCTTAAACATATCATTTGTTGCAGTACATAAAAGGTCACCAGTGGAATATAGGAAATAGAGACAACAAGTCCAAACTGGACCATAAAAATGTTCAGAGTTTACTAAGGAAAATAGTTTTACTGAAATCCCAAAAATCTTTCTGCATAAACGAAGCAAATACTTGTGCTATGAAACCAAGTGCCATGGACCTGTTTGACTGTCTCTTCAAGGCTCTGACAACCGCTACCCATCAGGAAGCTAAGCCTCTCCAGAATGGAAGGCCAAGACCTCACCCTGAAACATAAGCCCTGCAGCAGACACAGCCATTTTTCCTTTGTAGAAGAACTCAGTGCCCAGATGGCTGTCACATTCCAGCCTTCAATAGCCAGGATATCTATCCTTACCATGCTATCCTTACCGCAAGCAGAGGGAAGATGGGCTGATGTTTAATGTTTCCTAATCAGCTCTTTATCAGAATGTCTGAGGGTCTGGATTGTAACCCTACTCTTGCATTAAAACAATCACCTCGTCTCGATATGTCAAAATGTTATCAGGACAGCTGCACCTGCGATCTGATGTCCAGCTGACTGCGGGGAGCTTTCTGCTTGTCCAAGGCCTTATCTCTTTCAGTAAAAAGAAACCCAGCATTGACGGACTTTTCTTGCAAAAGACATTGCCTTTAAATTCAAGACATGTTTCTCTCCTTACCAGCAGAGGGAGGCCTGAGCCACTTCCCGAGCTCTGAGACTGCTGGATTAAGTCTCTCAGCGACTCTCCTGGAGGAATGTAAGTTTCGTCTTGTTCTAATCCAATGCTGTACCGGGGCCTGGCTTCTTGCCTTCTATACCTGAAGAAGGAAAGATGTAGAGAATCTTAGAGAGCAGGATGCAATCACAGGGGTGAAGGCTTCCAGATAAAAAGAAATCACATTATTCATTTTAGCATTATCAATATAAAATTAAATGCTTAGTGTCCATTATTCTTAGCATTTCTAAAATGCAAACGGTAATTATTTTGCTAGCCTGACTTAAGAATAAACTACACGTTTTGACTCTGTGACATCCACTTACAAGTTTTCTTCTCTATTCCTTTTATTAGCTTTCATCCAAGCACACTGCATTCTGCCAATTTTTCCAAATGGCTTTAATGTGCATTCCCTAAAATCTTCTAAGGCCCTTAATTTAAGATGTAAACTTTTGGTCTGTAGCAAACATCACAACTAACTCTTGCATAAAGTAATCCAGAAAAGCAGTATCAGAAGCAGTAAAATTAAATACTAAAAATATTCTGTCAATTTAGTTTGGAAATCAGTTTAATCTTCTCATTTTCAGAAAATCACCAATTCACATTAAATTGCTTAAAAGGCACAGTATATGAATATAATGATGCTTGATATTTCACAACCTAGAAAATAAGTTCTGAGGTAACTAATATGATTTATAATGCTCAGAGTTAACTTCTAATATTCTGACATTTTATTTTAGTAGCTAACCCACTCCATAATACCTTTAATATTAATGTTAGAAGGAAATTTTTAGCTCAAGAACAAATTACTGGCATCATCCTACTTCAACATGGTCACTTTTCTGCTTAGATCTGAAACTAAGTAGCAACAAGGTCCCAAATTCCTCAACAAAACTAGTTAGCCCCAGGAGGAAATATTTATGTGGACAGTTTTGATGTCTGAAGAAGAAATGAACTGGGTTTCTGTCTGTTGTTTCAATTGAACAAATACATATCAACTGTAACAGACAGCGTCAGTTCTGTGTACATATACACAGGTTAGCTGTGGCGGAAAACACTAACAGACAGAAGCAGCAGAACATGAGTGTGAGACACAGGGAGCAGTAAGTGCTCCATCTCCATCCTGGAAACTTACCTGAAGTAGCAGAAGAGAATGATAAGGACCAAGAGCAAACTACAGACAGTCACAGATATGAGTAGGGCTTTATGGTGGATGGGTCCATCGACAAAATCTGAAATGAACAAGATGAACAGCCATCAGGCACAGAAGGCTCCCAGTTACAAAGTCAGGGGAATAGCTCTTTCCAGAGGACTTGTTAAGCATCACAGGCAAAAATGAAATATCTTTTCCATATACTCATTTTTAAGAGATATGAAAGGAAGTGTAATAGGGATGGAGGAAAGGAAGGAGGAAAGGAGGGAGAGAGGAAGGGAAGAGAGAGGAATAAAGAGGAAAAGGGTCTGACTTCCAATCTTTACTGGTTCACTCTCCAAATGGCTACTGAGATAGCCCCCAAAGCCCCAAAGCCAACAGTCAAGAACTCCTGCCAGGCAGGCCTCATACAAGGGTGCAGGGGCCCAAGTGCATGGGCTGTCTTCTGCTCTTTTCCCACACACATTAGCTGGAGAAGAAGCAGACTAGCTATGACTCAACTGGCACCTGTGTGGGATGCTGGTGTCACAAATAGCAGCTTAACCTGCTTTACTGTAGCACTAGTCCCAGCATGTTAAATGACAGCAAACACACACATCAAAATTACATATTTGATTAGCATGACTGATGACTCATTCAGGCACACATTTCTACTCTGGAGGGAATGAGCTGGACACCACATGAAACCACAGAAAAGAATACGAACACAGGTGAATGCATCATGGTACTGCAAATAAGAGCAGGAAGGTGATGAGCTTACAGGCTCAATTCACGGGGTGTCAGGACCACCCTGGGCACACGTTTGGATACAAGTGAATTTATGTTCATTGTAGAGGCAACAGAAAGTCATCTTATGTTGGGCAGAATGGAAAAGGATGCCTCAAAAGTGGCCTGAGAGACTATGTGTGTGAGCATCACTTTAAGTACAAATGCCCTTCAAAAATACATAGCTTTACTCTTCTTACATGGAATCGCATTTTAAAGGAATGCCTTTCTTCCAGCCAAGGATGTGACAGCTTAACAAAACCAACTATGACATACTATTTGTTAGAATTCCACTTTTTGACTAATCTGGCTCACTCCAATCATGCATTTTCACACTTTACACAAGTATAAAAGACTTAGGGGTATTTAATACACAAGTTTAATTACTGATTTTAATCCAAGAGATTTTTTACTCAAAGTATTTTATTATTGTGGATGGTTTTCATACAGGAGACCTCTGGAGAAACATGACAGAAAACATGTACAATTATATGGTAATTGAATTAGCCATGTTCTTACTAATACAATCACATGCCATTGACAACAGGATTGCTGCTATTTGTTTTTAAATGCTTATATATTTATTGATTGATTTGTAATGGCAGAGGGACAGAAAACTCCACATGCTTGAAACAACTCAGGGTAGACTGAATTCAAAATTTAGAAACTCAATCTAGGTCTCCCCAAAGGGGGCCAGGAGATAAAAACTTGCCATTTCCTGATCATTTGGGAAAAACTGCCGCTAACCCTTTAGTTTTTGCTATTATAGTATCATTTCAAGAACAAAATATGTTAATGTGTAAAGTAATTACACATTAGTATGATTTTTAATGATTATGTAGTAATGTACATACTGACATTCTGATCAGAGAGCCACTCTTTAGTTATCATGCAGTCAGGAAATTTCAAAGATTTTGCTATGACACTTCTTTATAATGATAAATAAATTTATAATAATAAATTTATTTATAATAATAAATAAAGTTCTGTAATGAACACTCCTAAGCATGTACCTTGCCCATGTCACTGATTACTTCAACTGAGATTTCTAGAATTTGAAATAATAGCTCAAGGACGTGTATTTTAACGCTTCTCAAACACATTATCAAATATTCTTCAAAAAGATTATATTAATGCCCTTAACCAATATTTCTTAAGATTTTACCATACGAGATTTAGCTTTCTTGCTCCCTCACTGCCTGTCTATTTTCTCTCTGTGCATTTTATATACACAGACATGAAAGCACGAATATAAAAAGTTGTACTCCTGTGTATTTTCATTTACTTATTTATTTGTATTATTTTTGGATCATTTGAAGTTAAGAAAACAATATATCCATGTATTTATAAATGTGTCCTAAAAAAAGTCCACTGTCTTACAAACACTAGTTTAACTAGACAACTAATTTAATTAGCGTGAACCAATAAGTTGAAAATAAATACTATCTTGAAATATTTCAGAAAAAGCTTATGTTATTATTAACTACAATTCATGAATCTTAATACTGTTTTGTTGCCTAAATATCACCAGTTCATATTATGATTTACTCATGCGTCTAATATCAATGTTCAACAACTGCTTTTATTTCATGCTACTTGCAAAGCACTAATCTGGTGTCCTTCTATCACGAATGAATGAAAGATCAATACAAAGAAGTGGTCTTACTACTAATAAACTTAAAAACGTTGCTAATTATCCAGCAAAAATGAAGGCCAGGAACTTGAATCATTGTGATAAATGTCCCCCAAAGCCATTAATTAATCTTAAATGCAAAATGGGTCACAGATGAACAATGTATGTATTATTTGAAACCCACAGTTTAGTGAATACTGAGTAATTTTTAAGCTCTCAAATTAGCCTAGATTTTATACAATGTTAAACTTTTTCCATCATTTTCTACATATACATGCCCAGGCTGCCAATGGTACTAAATCTTAATGTGTATCTTCAGTTAATAAAACATAACAGAAGCCCGATTTTGCAGAAATCAAAGCAACTTTTAGACACCAGATCAGAACTAGAACAAATCACACCATCAGTCAATTTACAAGCACAGAATAATTTCCCATTTCAGTGGTGCACTCTCACTGAAACTCTGCCTCATTGCCTTTTACAGATCACATTCATGCAGAATACAGACTCTCCCCTTGAACTGCAAGATCATCGTACATCCCACTCCTCTTACTCTGCTTCTGACTCACCAGAGCAGTGAGAACACGGAGGAAGTGAGGGATTCCTTCCTTAGCCCCCCAGCCCTCATTCAAGGCTCACCTTACCTTCCTATTTTACTTCCCTTTGCCCCAATAACCCTGTTCCCCCCAGTCTCCTCTACTGCCTCCTTGTCTTCCCTCGGGAGTAGGCGATCCTTATCAATAAGCCTTTTGTTGCTGTTGGTCATGCTGGTCATGTTTTAATCTGCCATTACCTGTGCGCGGGAGCATTAACAATGTAAACATTCAAGTCACTGCCAGGGTCTGGGAAAGGCAACACTTTCAGATGCCTATCAGGAAAAGAGCCCAGGCAGCAGTTCTCTGGGGGCAGTGGACTTCAACCTGCGCTGTCACTCCAGCTGCTCAGAAAAGTGGAGCCAAACGCTCCCCCGGGGAAGAGGCAAGCAGCAATCAGCAGTGGTTGTGCTCTGTCACTGCCATCAGCCTGGCCATATGCAGAGCTGTGGCTTGTGACTGCTTACAATGAATGCCAGCTCTGTCTGTAGCAGAATGGAAGATGGGTCGGAACTGCAATAAGAACCTGGAGCGAAGAATCAGGGAGCGAGCCAGAATCTGGGAAATAAGTACCTGTCCCAGGACACCTGTAACACAGCCTCGGTATTGCAGTCACGGATAAAGAGGGAGCCATATTTCTACAAACAGAGTGCAAAAAGCAAGTGAAGAATGGATTCTTGTCAGGGGATTTTAATCCACAAGTAATTCCATACAGCTTCAGATCTATTATCAATAGAGATTCCCTCTTAAGCTGCAGAAATAAATTCTGTTGAAGAACCAAAATGTTAACACAGCTTTCCCTGGAACAACCAACGTTTAGAATTCTTTTTAAAATATGTTTTTATTTTGAATTTTGGATTATGTGATACAATTTCGTACAGGCTGGGATTCCACCCCAAACTCCCAACACCCATCAGATTTTTCCCATTTTGTTTCAAGACTGTATACTTCTTGATAAGAAATGAGATCAAGACAGAATTTTTATATTCAGGTCATTGTATTCAACAAGAAAGAAAAAACAACTTCTACATTCCTTTCCTGTATCCCATGCACAAATTTAAACTGAAATTCCAAAATAATTAAGAGCAAGACATTACAAGAAATGTTAGTGCTTATACTCCAGAAGGAGGTTCAGCTATGACGTGTGTCCCAGATCTTTGGGCAAAAAACAGTCATTTGTAGAGGAACTCCTGACACTCAGCTCCACAGCCTGCACACTATCACACAGTTCACCTGTCTGTGCTGAGAACATGGGAGAAATTTCCCTGCTAAAGTACATGCTACCTGTAGAGCATAATTTCCAGGTGGCAGTACCTAAGGGTAGGTATTTAATTCCTTACATACTTATTTTATTTGAGAAGAAGTCAGCAGGTAGGGGGGGAGTAGAAAGAAGGGGGAGAAGAAGGGGAAGGCAGAGGGAGGGAGGAGGTGAGGAGAGAAAGAGAGAGAGAGATGAATGAATATGTATCTCCAGTTGCTGCTTCATTCCATAGATGCCCACGATGACCAGGGCTGAACGGACGCTGCATCTGGAAGCTGGGAACTCCTCCAGGTCTCGCTTGTGTCAGGACTCCAACTACTGGAGCCCTCATCTCCGGCATTAGAAGATGTATTAGCAGGAACCAGGAGGAGCTGGACTAGAACCCTGGCATTCAAAACTGGGGTGTGGGTGTCCCAAGTGCTCTTAAATGCTAGGTCTAAAACAATCAAAGGATTAAAAACAATTTTTTTTGAAAGAAGCAGCTTGAATCCTATTTTCAAGAGTTCAAAATAAGATATGAAATAAGATAATTTTTTAGCTTTAGAAATTTTTTAATTTGCCTATAAGGGCTTAACTACACAGGCATTACATGTACACAGGCATTATTTCTGATAAATTCCTATAAAACCTCTAGGTAGTGTATATGAGTAATTCTCATATTTAAACATTTAAACTTCTGCTGATTTCAAAAAAATAGAAAAATGTTATCGTGCAAAAGTCAGAACAAAGGATAACACTTCATAAAGCAACACTCATTTCAACATCAACCCATGGCACCCTGAAGTGCTCGTTACAGAAAACAAATCTAAGAAGCAGTAACTCAGCAATTTGGGTGGGAGGTTGTTCAACACACTGGCCACCCTCCTGGACAAGGCAGGGACATGCAGAATCTGCACCAAGCCACCTGACACTCACCCTGAGGCTCGCCACTAGCCCCAGCGCCCCCAGAGTCCACTGTCACCAATCAAGCACTCAGGCAGCTAGCCATCACTGCATCAGCACTGAAGGCCTTAATATCTGTACAGACTTCCCTTCCTACTCTAGCTGTTGGACCACAGAGCTCCCGGGTTGCATTTGCTCATGTCTAGTGAAGGTGCTGTATTTGGTTCCATTATGTACATGTTTTGTCCTTTAAAATGACAGTTATTCCAAAGATTATTTTGCTGGAGGTGCAGTGAAATACAAAACAACCTATACTACCCACAGGCTCTGCAAACCTAGCAGAGTTCATGCATTTTAAACAGAGGAAAGGGAAAGGGCATTGCAGGGCATGCCCCCAGCTAATGCTGGGCTACCTGGCATGGAGAGCCACCCCCGCTTCCGATCCTATTTCCTGGTTATTAGCACTCTGGAAAGCAGCAGATAATAGCTCAAATGCTTGAGTCTCTGCCACCCATTGGGGAAGACACTGGTAGAGTCCCAAGCTCCTATTTCAACTTGGCTCAGTCACCAGATACTGCAGGCATTTGGGGAGTGAACCTGTATATGGCAGATCTTTTCAAATAACTGATAAATTAATAAGCTGAAAACAAATTTGAAAGTGGAAGAAACAGTCCTAAGTACCACATTGGGTCATTGAAAGGCTCCAAGGAGTTCATTAAAGTAATACCCAGCACAATGCTTGCATTAATTACATATTTTGTTTTTTAAGATTTATGTATCTATTTATTTATTCATTCCAAAGGTAAAGAGAGAGATTGTCCAGCCACTGGTTCACTCCCCAAATGGTTGTAATGGCCAGGGATAGGCCAGGCCCAAGTCAGGAGATTCACCTTGGTCTACCATCGCCAGGAATAGACCCTATGGGATGCAAGCATTGCAGCTAGTGGCTTACCTCACTACACCGTTACACCAGACTCGAATTTCAAAATCTAAATTTACTTAGTCATTTCTGCCTCATTAACACAGTAAATTCATCTTCAAAGTTTTACTTATTCAAGCTTTACTTCTCTGAATCTATGTTGACATCCTCCAATCCCCAACAGAACCAGCCAACCAGCCACTTTTCTCAAGTATCCTGAATAATACGTCGTAATCTAACTTACTACTGACACATTCATTATGAAACATAATTTTGACATGCTTCTTTCTCAGATCCCATGAGAAAAATAACTGTTCATACATTTTTATATTGCTAACTCCTAGAATGTTGATTAGCCAAAGAAAAACTGAGGTTTGATGTGAGTTACTATGAATTCATTCTGTACAGCTTCCTAGGCTGTATTACGTTAACAGGACAAATATCACATTACAAAAGTCATGAACTCCCACTATATTTTATCAGAAACATCTACTCTCAAGAAAACAGGTGAATTTTGAAGGATCATTTCAAGGAACTCCTTCAAGAGATAGGACATGAATCTCTCTCAAAATTACAAACCCCCTATACTCTGATGATGGCCAGGAGAAACAGCAAAATGTGGAATGTGATTCTAACAGAAAGTCTTTGGGGATGCACAATTTATCTTTCTTAATGAATAACCCTTAAGTGTGTTTTTGAATTTAAAAAGCACATTTAGACATCTTTCCATTTTATTGATATATATACTAATATTAGACTAAAAAGCACTCAAGTGTGGAGAAAATTAAATACCATATAGCAAGTAATCTTGTAGTTCTTTATAAGGTCTGTACACTTTAATTTACGAGTTAAAAAAAGTGAAAGAGAGACTAAGATCTTGCATCCACTTTTGGCTCTCACCATCAGGGCGAGGCTAAAGCAAGAAGCTGAGAACTCCAGTCAGGTTTCCCACACAAGTGGCAGGGATGCACGGGCAATCATCTGACGGCTACCCAAGCAGTATGACTTTAGTGAAAGGCAACTTCAAAGTAATGTCTAGTGTCGAACATGAAGCACGGTCATCTTCTCCTATTCTCCCATAAGAGATCGCAAGCTTCAGGAATCTTCATTTTCTGAAGGGAAGTCTATAGAGATGAAAATCCAAAGACCCTTAAGAGTAACATCACCAACAACTGTTTTTCCAAGCATTGCTTGCATTGCCTTTGAATGTCAGCTTTGTGTTTTACACCTATGCTAGCCATATAAATACTATAGTACAGTTGGATCAATGTGGAACACAGAATGAATCCAGTTTTTATGGTCATCATGCCTAAAGCTTTTCCTACCAGGAGCTTTGCTTGCCTCACCTCTGTTTTTCAATGGCGGCAGTGTGGGGTGTAGATCCTTGTTGCATTCATTCCTTTCTGTGCAGCATTCAATGGATCTTCTTTGATGAGGAATGGGGGTATCCTAAAATGGAACCCACACAGTTATAATCAGCTTTCTCTAAAGTAAAAAAAAAAAAATCAAGTAATCTAAAATGTAAGATCACTACTTAACAAACTCATAATCATTTTGTTTAGATATCTGGAAGACACAGGGAGAGACAGAACTTCCATCTTCTGGTTTACTCCCTGAATGACCACAACAGCAGGAGTTAGGCCAGAGTGAAGCTAGGACTGTTGAGCTTCTTCCTAGTCTCCCACATGAATGCAGGGGGCCAATCACTTGGGTCATGCTACGTTGCTTTCCCAGGCACATTATCAAGGAGCTGGAGTGGACATGGAGCAGCCAGAACACAAACCACTATTCACATGAGACACCTGTGCTGCAGGCTGTGACTTTGTCAACTATGCAACCACCCCAGCCCCAGAAACCTTTGTAATTTGACAAATTACGACTATGTTTGTGATAAACTGAGCAAGGAGCTTTGGCTTAATGCAGCGGTCCAATCTGGATTCTGAGGAAAATAAACCAATGGAACATAAAGCAGCAAGTTAACAGTAAAGATGAAGGGCATTTGGTTACAAATGCAGTGAGAACTGACCATCTGAGAATTTTCCATAATTTTTCTAAACAACTGAAAGTAAGGGAAACATTGCTTTGTGTTGTTTGAGTTGTTGGGAACGTAGCCAGTGGAAGTTTACAAAGTAGTATCAGATTACCCGACACTGAAAGTCTGAGCCTTCTAATCCAAGACATCCAGAAGTGACCACGGGCATTCCAGAATCATCTTCTTCAATCATTGTGAAACAATATCCGTCTGTGCTGAAGACAAGAGAGAGATTTAGAGAGAAAAGAAAAAACATGAATACACGCTTGCCTGTGTGTTCAGGGAAGAAGGGAATGAATGCTGTATGTCATCTGTTTCATTACAATCAAGATCAATGATTAGTTACAGGCTATAATCTGTTACCATCTAGTTTCATAAAAAGCGATTTAGTTGCCATTAAAAACAACGGGTAGCATCTCCTTTCTCTGGAAACTTGTGAGAAGCAAGGATCCAAAATAGCCACGTGACAGGCAGTATGCCTTGCTGGCAGGGACCACCTCCATGAATGACGGAATTTCCCCTGACTCCCACAGAGACATTAGTCTTCTAGACAAATTCAGACAAGTCTGTGAGAAAGACAGCATTATATGGGATGAGGGTTTAAGGCGGCATGCATAATCTCCCAAAGGCATATGGTGATTTAGAGGAAGAAAAGAGTTTGCTGTAGAATGTCCATGCGGGTCACACTTGACCTGAGATAGTGGAATACACTTAGTCATTTCAGGGCACAAACACTAAGAACAGATGGAAGACAGGGCAGCACAAGTGAGGTGGCACAGCTTTGTACTGAATACCGATGCCTCTGGGTAAAGCTTGTCACACCAACCCAATTCCCTTGGCTGTAAGCAGTGTAGGCCTGGGCTGGGTTGGGATTAAGCAATGATAACAGAAAGAAGGCACATTCACAAACCGGCAAAAGCAAATAAACCATTTTTACACTTTCTCTGCAAGAGTTTTTTAATCTATTAAAAGTAACATTTACTTATTTTTTTGACATCCATTTCAATAGTGATGAAAAGAAAGGAAGCTTTCTGTTTTACAGATGGGGGCGCTGAAGTGCTGAAAAGCAAAGAAATGTGTACAAGGTCAAAACCCACAGAGTTAAAGGATCAGGCCTTGAATCAAAGTTCTTTTCCTTCATTCCCACATATTCCCTGCTACAGCCTCCTGGGACTCACACAGGAAGCTAGAATTGTTAAATGCAGAAGCGTCTATAAGCAGATTCCACTGCCTTCACAAGCTGGTGTGATGACTGTCTTCAGATCCCCAGTATAAACTGTCTTCAGATCCCCAGTATAAGCAACACAGCACTGCTACTGCATGTCTTAACAAATAAAGTACAAAACGGTGGCTTCTTTTTTTTTTTTTTTAATCTCCTACACCTGGTGTCTAAGACAGACATGGCAATGTGGCCTGGAAGGCCCTGGAAGACAGCACTGAGACTGTACTAGACGTGATCGCTGGGTTAATCTACTCTGTATTAGTGATAGCACATTCTGCCATATATTAGCCTTTCAGTTATCAACAACACCTTAAAGAACTGTTTTATCTGATTTATAAACTTCAAGTGATCCAAAATACCTCAGTTTATAAAAACTAAAACATAAGAATAAATAGCCAGGAAGAACCATTGATAATTCTCTTTGTTAGACCAAGGCCAAATTCATGTACGTGGAAAAAAGTGCCTCCCAAAGGCCCTTGTTACGTGTTCTCTGGGTTTTTTTTAAATCATTTACTTATATTACTATGAAAACGTACAGCATGTAAACACTGAATGAAGTAATCTGTAAAATAATTGTTCAATGGAAATTTATTTCAATATGAATAAGTGATGTTCACGTGACGGTATTACTCATTTTGTACATTCTTTTGCATTTATCATCAAAACTAAAACTTAGAAATTAGCAGGAATAAGAGTTATCCTAATTTTCTGGTGTGAGAAATTCATGAGCACAAGATTTACTCATCCCAAAAGCCAATTTCTTCTTAATCACATGCTTCTGTTACTCATGATTAAATATAGGGAAATGTACTTCTAGTAATTGGTAAGAATCTATACAGGGGAAAAAATAGGAATATCCTAATAAGTAAAGCTGTTGGACAGTTGTTGCTTCAATGTCCTGGAAGACACAGGAAATAATTTGTGAGCTTCTCTCTGAAAAGGTTATCTTGCAAGAAACTTTAACTGGAAAGTAGCACTGTCTTCATAGTTTAAGGATGACTTGAGAACTTGCAATTCTCAATCAAGCAAATAGGAATAAAAAGCGGTATTCCTGAGGTGGAACAACAACCCAACCCACCCTGTCGAGATGGCTTCTGGCTTGCACAAAGAAATTTTATCAGTAGTTCATCTGAACAAGCTACTGATGCGTGGTTTCCATGTGTACCCACTGTTTTATATGCACAGATGGCTAGCAACTATTCCCAGGGTGTTGGAGTTGATGAGAAGAAAGAAAGAATCTTGAAGGAAGTCATAGCTTGAATAACTGCAGGCAAAACTGAGGCTAAAAAGATGTCCACACGAATATAGTGCTATTCTACTGAGGGTTTTTTTTTTTAACTATGATAACGATTATAAATGCAAAGGCCAGTTGAAAATTTAAAGGGTATGCGAAGTTCAGTAGTTGTAATCAAACTTTGGTTAAAATGCTCAAGTGGATTGCCCAGTATCCCAAAAGCAAAGGAGTGCCTAGAACATTTGAAAGATCATCGGAGGCTTCACTACTTAAATGGAATTTTCAGTGTGCCCAAGTGAACACACATCCTGGCCAGAGCTAGTGTCCTTGTTTGCAAGCTTTGAGAAACCAAGTAATACTTTTTATAGGCAGAGATGTGTCCAAAAGTGGCCGGGCTTGCCTCCTCTCATTTCAGATCAAATGGATTGATCACAGCTTTCTGGAGCCCAACCTGTCATTAGTTTTGCAGAGTGTTTAAAAACTGACCTCATAGGTATCCAGAACTGCACTACAGCATCTGTTTACAATGAAAGTACATTGTGTATAAGGTTGGCCAAAGCTTTGGTTCCTTGAGCCCTATTCTTCTAAGATGCTGGTTCTACACTGAAAACCTCAGAGCTGTTCACAAAAACAGCTTGCATGGTTGTGGGGAGACTACTGTAGCACTTTCCCTCCCAGTAGAACAGATGTTTATGAAGATTAACTTAACTATAAAGTAATTTTAAGATACTAGCTTAAAAACCATTATGTGCTCTGCTCAATGGCTGATAGGGAGCTTTAAAGCATGATTTGAAATGTGCTCTTAGCAAAAATTAATTACCTAAATGAGTATACCTGCTCCAATGCATTTGCCTGCCAGGAATAAGTTCTCTTAATTAATTGGTACACTATCCAATTCACTACGTGAGCAAACATTCTTTTAAAATTCTTTTAAGGATCAATTAGTTTTAAATGGACAATCTTAACCCATATAGTTAAACACCCTTGAGAATACTGTATTTTATAAAAAAAAAAATCAACTTCAGGGTAGGCCTCCGGCAAAGTGATGAAGCTGCCAGTTGGGAAAACTGCATCTCACAACAGCCTGGGTTCGAGTCCTGGCTTTGCTCTTAATTGCAGCTTCTTGCTAAAGCACCTCCTGGGAGGCCATAGGTGGTGGCTCAAATAGTTGATCACTGTTCACATGGGAAACTCAGACTGAATTCCCAATTCCTGGCTTCAACCTGGCCCAGCCATGGCAGCTGTTGGATTTGGTGAGTGAACCAGCATATGGAAGATTTACGTAGGTTTGTCCACACATATATCTGTCTCTCTCCCTTCATTTCTAATAAATAAAAAAATCAAGTAAGTCATCTATTTCACATTCAGGAGAACTAAGTTTCCCAGCTTTTGTCACAGGAAATGTCAAAGAGGCACACAAGTTTTAGTGTTGCTATGTTCAATTCACATAGCTTTTCATTCACTGGAAGAACTGAAAGCAGCCTGTTTTGTTAGTCTACACTATGATCTGCACTGTGCGGGACTCGGGCACAACTGGGCTGCAAACACCAGGGTGAGAATGATGAAGTGTGGCTTTGAGGGGGTCTGTGCTGCCAAGCCTAGAGGAGGGGGTAGCACTTGGCTTCAAGCAGCAGCGATGTAATGATAAGTTCGTAAATGTTTTCTACCAATTTGGAAGTAAGCCAACAAACATGATCAATGTAACAGAATTACAGAAGTCCTAAGACACTTCTGTTTTCTTCTCAACGTGTCTGATGAATGGATGGCCACAGTGCTAGAGGGAAAGGTGGTAAAAATAGACGTGGCTCTACTGTCACCTGCCCTAGCTGGTCCTCTAACAAGTCACTGTATCAGAGAAAGATGAGGTTATATTTAGGAAGGTACCTCAATGTGAGAAATGTCTTTATGGTTTATCTTCAAGAACAAGTCACTAGTACCCATCCTATTCTGGCACCCATATCAAACGGTGTATCATCTTGTTTATTTTTAAAATTTATTTTTCATGGAAAGGCATTTTTACATACATAAGGAGAGACAGAAAGATTTTCTCTCTGCTGGTTCACTCCACAAGTGGATGCAATGGTCAGAGCTGAGCCAATCTGAAGTCAAGAGCCAGGAACTTCTTCTGGATCTCCTAAGTGGGTGAATGGTCCCAAGGCTTTTGGCCATCCTCTACTACTTTCCCAGGCCACAAGCAAGGGGCTGGATAGGAAGTGGTTGCAACAGCAATCCAAAGCCAAGAGCCCGGAGATTCATTTTAGTCTCCCACATGGGTGCAGGGTCCCAAGAACTTCAGACATCCTCTGCTGCTTTCCCAGGCCACAAGCAGCTAACTGGATTGAAAACAGAGCAGATGAAATGTAAACTGGTTCCCCATAGGGTATGCTGGCATTTTGGTGGAAGCTTAGCCCACGATGCCATGTGCCAGTCCCTTGTTTCAGGTTTTACACCCGATAAGGATTGGCATTTTTCATCCCCAGTTCACTATATAGATTCAATGCTAAGGAAGTGTTGTAGCATGACTTTGCCTTCTTAACTCCAATCCACTTCATATGGAACTGTGTGAAAAATCAAACACTGGCTTCCTGTGATCAGCTAGCTTCCTTTTTCCCTCTGTGCCCTGTACAGATCCCTACATTATTAGCTCTCTTCTACATATAACAAAAAAATTTGGCCCATTCAGCACTCTCATTTGTGATTACTAAGAGGCACAAATGAAGTTTTTGCTTTAAAAATAAATTGTAGGGCCCAGAGTGGTG